GTTGTTCTAAATTCTGTCTCTGCCAGGTAGCCAGGAATAGGATTTAAAATCAGTTCCCTTGCAGACAGCTCAAGTTCAACAGACACTGCTTTTGCAACTACCAGCACATGCCCAGGGTGTTGGTTGTTTATAGTGTAGGTGAAAGATCTGTAACATAAAAATATATATTTCTCAATATTTTTGTGTATTTTTGTAATTTTTTTTATACAACTTGAATCATGTCAAAGGTGAAGATCATCCCAAAGTATGATGAACCTCATAATGTCACTTTAACAGCACTAGTAAAGTAAGAGTTCCATTGCCGTACTAGAAGGCTAGAAATCAGTGTGCCTACACGTTTACCCATGAGGTGCACCAAAAGATCTGAGCATAGATGCAGAGATGCAACACTACGCCAGAAAGAGCACAGTACTTTCCATAAAGTTTCTACTAACAAATACATTGTAATAGCAAACTTTTTTCCCTGATATTCCTGTGGATATATGGGCTTTTGACAGGACAGTTTGTTCTCGTTTTTTTAAACCCTAGCAAAATTTTGCAATATAAAACTGCATTAATTATTGCATAAACCATTAACACTTACCATAATTACACTGAGTTTAAACTAGTCACATTACTATTTTTTATTCTACTACTATGAAGAAAATATGTAAATCAGGACAAATATAAGAAGTCTTACCTTTTAAACATTCCAAGAGTGTTTGTCTCAAATACAATTGGAATATAAGTCTTTGTAAGAGGAGGCACCACCTGAGACAATGGACCCGTCTGCCATAATTCATCAATTTGAAACTCAATTTGTATCCATATATGAACTAACAAGTTATTGATGATGTGCAGTTTTCTGGCTGTTGTGGAACGCACACAAACATCACCAAAATCCATAGTAGAAGGACCTGGAATATACAAGACATAAGATCTTCAACATTAAAAAGTAGAAGTTAATGTAAGGAAGCTAACTACTAAAACATTACGATCAAAATATTTTAGTTCCTCAAATTACAGAATTAGTCAGCTAGAACAATCCTGCAGCAGAACAAATTCACAGTAAAATTTGGAATTAAATACCATGCATATTCTGTGAATGTTTTCAGCAGTACAACTTAAAAGGCAGCACCTCTTAGTAGCAGTATTTCTTAATTCTGTGTTAGCCAGCTATTAAAACAGCAAAAGCAATATGCTAATTACAGAAGGCATTATTAATAATGATAAATACTTCTTTTTATTAATCAGATATTTAAATGGCTAGAAACCAGCAATTCACTGAGAGTTCATATATGAAACCTGTTTATTTGCTCCCTGATGTGTGACCATGTGGTTTGGTGACAGAATTATCTCACTACTTTATTTACTGCTATCACCAGGTTTTATGCTGTTCTGCAAACTTTAGTGCTCATGGCACTAATCAAACGTCTTACAAAACTAAGTAATTTCTGTATTAATATATTTCTCTTATTCTACCTTCCACTAAGTGTATCAGTATACACAGCCGTACTGCTCAAGTTCTGGCTTCATCGAAAATAAAAAAAGCCCAGAAAGCAGTTGAATTTTTCACTTTGCTGCTAAATACATTTACTGAAGAAAAACTGACCTTAAAACAGGACAGTTTTAGTACCAAGTGTTGTTAACAGATGGGTCCCTCACAGACTTTAGCAGGTGTTAGTCCCCACCACAGAGCATTCCGCTGAAATTATTTTGAAGGAGAATCCTGAAGAAGTCTTAATTTTTGGGAGTATCACTCTTCACTGTTAATTCCCAGTAATATTCTGAATGCTCCCATAAATCCTGCTGCTATTAATGCTCATCCAGACACTATCCAATAACAAAGCATAAGGGTATGAGCAACCCTCATACTATTCTGTATTGATGTCTCTATAATAGGCTGTAGTATGAGCAGTTTTTAAAGGAAGCTATCCTTTTACATGTTCACACCTAATCATATCTTAGTTTTTTCTGAGGAGTACAAAGCTCTAGCTAAACACTGCTGTAGATATCAGGCTGCCACCAAATGAGGCTATTTTCTATATAAGATGAACAATTATTAACATAAATTGTTACTATAAGTGCTTTTATCACAACTATATGTATATAGTAACCAGATTAAAAATCTTACCAACGAGTATTTGGTGAAGCTGCTTGGATGTCAAAGTTAGACTACAGTCTTCCTTCTCTTGGGCAGAAGATGGCATAGCACTAAGCCCACTCCAAACCTGTGATAAGCACAAGACATCTTCTCAGGGCAAAATCAAAGTTCTTATGCTTCTTTATATGGTAAACACATTATGCTTACATTACTACTCAAGAATTTAACTTACTTCTTTGATGGAAGATTTAGAACCAATTGCTGCTTTCTGACTAGTTAATAGGCAATTCTCATCTGAAGGAAGGACTTTGAACTGTAGATTCTCCTTGTAAAAATCTGTGATTGAGATCTTTGGTGACACAAGCCCTTCAGCTGGTTTAAGGCCTATGCTTACAGAATTATTATAAATATAAAACTGCCTATAGGGAAAGGAAAAAAAAATATGGAAATATAGATGTTTGAGCATTCCATGTTCTACACATTAAACTATTTTAAGATTTTTTAAATGTAATAATACTTTAAGTAGGAATATTTCATTATTAAAAAAACCTCAAGTACAGAAAATGCCTTGAAAATTCTTTTATCGTATTGTTTAGACAAGGATTAACATCTATTGCATATTTGTGGCAATTGCTTAGCTACGCAGGTTGCAAGCATTATGGTTACCAAAATATAAATATTATATAAAGCCTAAAATACCTCTCAAAGAACAATTAAGTTCAAAAGTCAAGCACTTAAAAGTTAGCAAAAGTCAAGTTTATGAAGGATCCTTTAATTGCAGATGTCTGAATTGGACCACTTATAGCCTAATTTTCAGAGCAATTAATTTTTCTTGGTCAAATTTCAACTCCAATCAATCAATTTCACCTGCAACCAAGAGATTTGAAACTTCCAGAGATTTTACACAGATGTTTCATATCAAGTATTCAAAAATTATTACTATGTTTGATAGTAACCGTGAAGTTCATCTGATAACTGTGAAATTTTCCTTTCTGTTCTTGCTTCTCATGCAATATACCTTAAATATATGCATTATGGTCATATAAACAACAGTTCACCCACTACACAACCGCAGTTCCTTTCAAGAAAACCTAACATCATGTGCATGCATAAAAATAAAATAAATCCAGCTCTGCAGGCATTGTCTGAATCATGATGTATACACACAGCAAGGTAAATTGAGATTACAAGAATAATCCATTGGTATTATTAATTCTTAAATAATGGGTCTTGCAAACTCAATACTCTTAAGGTATTACTCCTCTTGCTTTAGAGACTTTACAAGCTTTTTTTTTTAATAAAACTTTTAAAAGTAGCAGAGCTGTCAGTTCTGCTTTTCCGTGATTTTGCTTCACAGCATACCAACCAAATACACAAATTCACAAAGTGAGAATTAACTACAAGACAAGGCTAGAAAACCAATACAATCCTTCAATCTTACTTGCATCATTCCACAAATTATATCATAATTTACAAACTGAATTCATCACTTTGGGTGAGCTAGACATACTTGTTGGACATACATTCAATTTATTACACAAAAATAAAAGAGAATCCAACACAATCAATGTTATGTTTTTCCTATTAACCACAACCAACTCTTCTTAAAACTTGGCATTTTCTTTTAAGTTCATTTTAAGTTTAATTTCAAGTTCCATGCCTCTGCCCATATATTTTACCGAGGAAGTGATCTCTACTTGCCTAAATGAACATTTGAACAAAACAGCTTTTGAATGCATTATAAATGAAGGTCCCAAGACCATAAACATTTCAGCATGGGACAAATTTAGGTATATGATTGGTGCCACTAAGTTAATTCTGCACGTATATACACATATTTTTCATATGAACCTAAAGTATTTACTTATCCTTTAAACAAAGTCTTACCTTGCAGCATCTTTCTGTAAACGACGCTGTCTTAAACTAGAAATGAAGTCTGCATAGTATTGCTTATGTGCTTCTTTTGACAGTCTTTCACAGTCAGTATAAGAAAACTCTGGATCTATATAATTGTATCTCTCAGTCTTTGTGAAAATAGTCCTAAGTATTTGAAGAGAATTGTAGTTTCACTATGTGTGTAAATGATTCTGAGTCTTGTTAGAATGAAAACATGTCGATTTTGCTACACATATATTTAATAGCAAATATTCTTTTTATTACAGTTGATTATTAATATTTTCCCTTGTAAAGGCAACTACAAAAATGAAATATTGAAACTGTAATAGCTACATTTGTAGTTTCACATAAAAAGCAGCTCAAGAAATATACATGCAAGAGGCTCAAAGTTAAATAGAATGCAATGAATTTTAAAGAACTTTCAGCCTGAAAAAAAAACAAACTAGTAAACTGTCATATGAGTAACAAATCTTGATCTACTATACAGTATATACAAATGTGTGGTTTTAAATATTATATTTGCATAATTTTTACCTGTACTTTTTACTCCATTCACTAGGCCTAATGCTGGCTGCACGGTCATTAGGAAAAGCTGTAAGTGCATCACCCTTAAAATTCCTGTTTATCCGGTGAGTATGAATTTGTGTTTGGGTTGATTTAAGTATTGCCACAGGTGCTGTATCAGTGCACTGTCCTGTGTCATCAGCTACAAACTGGCCAGTTGCATTGGAAATCATTGGTGTTATACCTTAAAATTCAAATGAAATATGTTACGCACACTTATACTTTCTAAACAGAATTTAAAGCATTAGAAAAATATTTCTTAATTTATACTGATCCATCCAGCAGTGAAACAATCAGTCACCCACATCATTATGTTTTCCGCAGACAAGAGTGAAGAAGGCATTCGGATCATACTAACAGCCAACCACCTTCTCTGGCCTACATCACAGCAGACACTTACTAGAGCCCAAACCACTACTGCTACATCCAGCTGCAACGCTTTGTCTTGCACATGCACATGACCGAACACTCAGAGCTGCCTCTGCCGCAACACTGTCTGCAGTGTCCTAAAGCTTCTCTTAAGGGCTGCAAACACAGGCACTATTTTTTACAAAGATTTCCCAAGCTGTCACGACTAAAAACAGAGCTCAGATCACCTTCAGTCTAGTTTTAGAGAAGCACTTATACATTAAAGAGAAAAATTATGACAGAAACTAGGCCATGTGTTTGCTCACTTCTCCTTACATAAATACACGCTTAAAACAGCACTATAAATAAATAAATCCATTATTCAACTGTCCCTTCCTCCCTTACCTGTAAAAAAATCAATACACTACACATATTGGGTTTACCCACTTTAGCCTTACTTTACTCTCAGGTGGCTACAAAAAAACCCTACTTTCCATCCTTTCTATAAACCTGCAAATAGGAGCAGAATGGGGACATTAACAGCAGATCATAGACAAGAGCATTTAGAAAAGCGGACAAAACTTGAACACTACATTAAATCTTTGATCCACAGAAATATATTTTAATTGTCTTTTTGAAGCAGGAAAACTTCAGGAGTTCTGGATTTCAACAATAAAAGCCAGAAATTGCAAAACTTTAGCTTCTCATCTATTCTTGACTGCCACTTTCCTAAGAGTAACAGGAATGTCCAGTGGCTTATCAACCATTCTGATGTTTGTAGAAAGAACAGCATTTTATCCTGACTTTCCAATGACAACTTCTTTTTACTTCCCCACAATGATCACCTTCCTGCTTTTCAATTAGTGAGGACATCTTCAAGTGGGTAGCAGACAGTTAAGGATTATTCAAGCTCCCCTCCTTAGCCACACACAGAAATCAGATACACTGCTGTACAGGACAGCTGTGTTGCACTAGTCCTACCTGCAGATGCTACAGCACTTCCGACGCTAGAAAAAGCAGTTTCTCACGACTGGATTTAAAATCTGGTGACAGGATTAGTCAAATCTACTGCAAAGGGGTTCTTTGTGGCACACATTAGGAACATGAGGAACAAATTAGAGACTAATTATTGCATAGCCTGAAAGATTCTTTATGCTAGCATAGGCTTCATAGGATGAGAAGAGTTAATGGACGTGGGACAGGTAGCAGGCTCTATTAACTGGCAAATTCATCTGGCAGTAATAGCTTTCCATCAATAAAGAATACCCTGTTATCTTTCCTAACTTCTTTCTGTGCTTTACCCATGTCTCTACTTACAACTGAAACATATTAGCACTATGTAATGGCATTGCTGTCAAAAACTGAAGCCTTTATTTCCTGATTTATAAAAGTTAAATAATCATATGATGAAAATATATGCTTTCATAGTTCCATTTCTGTTAAAATATAAGGGGGGTTTACGATTATTTTATTGTTTTATACTCCCCTATGTCACATAATTGAGCATTCCCTTAACTCTCAATGAGATTATTTTTTAAAAACAAACAATATGATTATTTTTTAAAAACGAACAATATGATTATTTTAAAAAACAAATTAAAAATAGTAAAAAATCATATAATAGTAAAAAAAATTCTCTTTTAAAATGTTAAAAATGTACTTTTAAAACATTTTATCACTTGTCACATATTTTTTTAGCATCTGAACAGGATTAATTTTGAATATAATGTTTTTTCGTTTAGATTTGCACACACCAATAAAGCTCAAATATATTTGGTGAAAGGATTTTGTCTTCGAAAGCTGTAAATTGTTTTTCTCTAGTCCTGTACTAATAATATCAACAATTTGCTTCACTTTAAATGTTCCTATTTGATGAGGAGAAAATGAAAATATCACATCCTGGAAAAGAAAAGTCATATGAGACATGAGACAGAAAAGCAAAGACAGAAGTTTTATGTAATTCTGTTTAATTGAGTCACTTCTCTCAACACATACTTCTAAGATAGGTATTCCAAACTGGGTTTTTAGAATATGCCAACTGCCACACATAAATTAGCAATAGATGGAAATATAAAACTGCTACACATTAGAACACCACAAAGTCTCACTTGCTCATTTCCAGGACAAATAGTTCTGCCTTGTGCCCTGAGTTGCAGGTTAGTGAAATTATAAATGTCTTCATATTTGACTTAAATTTGGCAAGGTTTCTTCCATTAAAAGATATGTTATGTTACTTGAGTATTTGTGATTTACTGAAAGAAATTAAAATGATACTGCAAAGAATTGAGTATAAATCAATCTTCTCAAGTCAGTAAAATATAAAAAAAAGTAAAGCCAGGAGAAACCCCAGTAAAGTTTCTTTAGTACTACAATTTATTTTTTCAAAATTTAAAATAACACTTCTTGCTTCCCGGTGTACAGGAAAGAGCATTAAAAGACTCTACATAAGGAGAAAAAACATCATATATTTGGCTGATATTAGACATCATGGTTACTGAAGTGAAATTGTTCTGGTTTACTTTCAAGAAATTCCACCACTGACCACTGTAAAGTAATCTACGTATCGACATAATCTAAGAGCAAGAGGTAATTACCTTTGCAGATTTTCTTTTAATTTTTCCTTTTTCAGGAGAAATATTAAAGTGAGCAGTCTTGCGAAAGCTGAATGTTACTGGAAGGGACTCAGATTCATTTTTGAGCGTGCATAGAACTTGTGTTTGTTCACCCAGGAAACAGTCCACAAACTTAATAACTGGTCCTGGATTAAAAGTTAACATGACAGGAAGTCCCGAACCTGTCAAAGCTAACTCCATGTGATGAGGATGATTCACTGCATTAGACAAACACAAAAAAACAAAAACAAACAAAATAACCTCACACCCCCATTAGCTTACAAACAGAAAAGACATACTGTAGCTGCATGGTTGCAAAAACAAAATAATACTGTAATACAATATGAATTATAATGTCAGAGGGCTGGAGTACCTCTCCTATGAGGACAGCCTAAGGGAGTTGGGGCTGTTCAGCCTGGAGAAGAGAAGGCTCCGGAGTGACCTTACAGCAGCCTTCCAGTACCTGAAGGGGGCTTACAGGAAGGATGGCGAGGGACTTTTCACAAGGGTGTGTAGTGATAGGACAAGGGGGAATGGCTCTAAACTAAAAGAGGAGGGATTTAGATTAGATATTAGGAAGAAATTATTCACCATGAGGGTGGTGAGGCCCTGGAACAGGTTGCCCAGAGAAGCTGTGGCTGCCCCCTCCCTGGAAGTGTTCAAGGCCACGCTGGACAGGGCTTTCAGCAACCTGGTCTAGTGGAAGATGTCCCTGCTCATGGCAGGGGAGTTGGAACCAGATGATCTTTAAGGTCCCTTTCAACCCTTACCATTCTATGATTCTGTGCAATTTTCTATAAACTTAACACAGACATGCTTACTTATAATGGCTGTTAGATTACATAGTCCCTCATTGAGGAATTTGAAGGTGATCAAATATGCATTTGAAAATGCACAAAACTGGTATTACCAAAGTGCTGGTGACTTGCAAATGGCTGGGTGTTTTTTTATTATAACTGTAAATATTTGGAAGACAAAGTTCTACGTGTTGATTACCAGCAGCTATATTCAAGACGTGTGATTCCTTCCTGCTTTCTACTCACTGCTCAAAGAATTTTTGGTGCTAAAGCATTAAAGATGTAAGTTACAATAATTTATTTGTATTGATATAAATAAAATAAACATACATTTCCCACAAAACTGTTAAGAAGATAAGAAATTTAAAAAAAAAAAATCAAGATACACAGCTTTGTCATGCATATATACATTTCTGATGGTGACTATACATTTCTGGTAACATACCTGTAATTGCTGTGGCACCATTACTGAGGGTCTCCAGACAGCCACCTTTATTCCCAACAACTTCAAATCTCAGAAACAGTACGTAATCTTGTTTCGACGATGAGTCATTCACTCCAAAGTCCCTTTTAAATTTGCTGTAAGAGTCACAACCTCTAATTACAAGATATGGGGGCGGTGGGGGGGGGAACCACACCAAACAAAAAAAATCAAGGCTTATTTTTCATCATCTCATCTGGTTTCTTTGCTGTTGGTTACAGCTTGAACAAATGATCTTTATACTTCCTTTCAGAAAATGGAACAGCAATAAATTTAAGCTCAACAATATCTGTATGCTTATTATACTAGTCATTTGATATCCTTTCAAGTCTACAAGAGTTTTCAAAACTAATATCATACACATAATAATCACTTACGAGTAGAGATTAAGTAAGGTAATAAGGCAAGAGCACATTTTCCTTTTATTTTCCTTATCTGAAGAGGAAATGTTCCTTTACGTTCACTTTTTTTTAATGGAATGAAAGCTCTCCAAAGTGTTTCAGTCTCTTGGTGATGACATATATATATTCGTTCATAATGCTGCACATATACACTATATCTTTATGATATCATCTGCAGTTATTAAAAAGGCACTTAATTTGACACTGTAGAACTGTCTCAACAATCTTGAGGGTTCAATATGTTTAATGGGAGCTGCAGCTAGTCCCATTGGCAAAATCTAATAAAATTCCTCTTCTCACAGAACAAGTATAATCAATTCTTGGTTTAAATACATCCTTAATGTATTATGAAACATCTCCCAGATAACCACTTCAGACATTCTTTCCTCACTTGTCATATCACACCAAGCAATTTCTTTTAACACACTTAAATACACAAGAAGTCATTCAGAAAAAACTTTGCAGACACATTAAGTGATGGTCCCTAACACAGGTCTTCATAGAAGAGTTTACACTCATCAACTTTGTACCACTCACTCACCTTGGACTAAAGCACAATGTAACCAAACATTTCTCATAAGGTAGCAAGGTTCCTTGATTGGGAATGCACAAGATCAAGGTGGAAATATCTACATCTCTTGTTCTATTTTCGAGGCTTAAGTCTTGCAAAACAGCATCTGCACTCCTCTGAAGATCTGTCCCCTAAAAAGTAAGCAAAATGTGGAATAGTTCAGCCTGTTCTGCTTCCCCTTTTGTGTTTGTTTTGTTCTTTTTTTTCCCTACCAATTTTTTTTTCCCTACACATACATTTTCATATCTTTCAAAACAAGTAGAAATATATAATGTAAGCAATAGCAATGACATAGTTGCATATCATATGGCTAATTAACCATTTTTAGACATCAGTTTCATGTCAATGTTTTGAATTCCCTTTTTTAAAGATGATGCTCACTCAGATGATTTCATTGTCTGAGAAAAACAAGTGAAACCTCAGATGCTTAACATCTTAGAATACCAAAATATATTTTAATAACTCCTACTAAATGATAAGAAATCAAGTAGGTCAAGCAAAGCCGCTCAAAAAAAACTCCAACAAAACAAAACAGTCACACCCAGGGTACGTACTTCACATTGTTAAGGTTAAGAGGTCACATAGTGAAATAGAAAAATCTACAAAAAAATAAATCCAAGGTTAAATGATCGTAAAAAATTTGTTGATTGGACAGAATTTTCAGAAAGCCTATTGATCTGGAAATAGTATGATATAGCAAACACTACCAGAAGATGAATGTTGACAAATAAAATACACAAAAGCAGAAATGAAAACAAGTTTTCAACTAAAATAAAAACCAGCAGTTTCTTACCATCTCTCCTCCAATGGCATTGTCATCCAGTACTGCTACCCAGTCCATACACTCAGGACTTTCATTGTATAATGATATTTGTTCAGTCTTTGAAGACCCAAAGTAAACTGGTCCAAAGTTAATGCACTTCAATGTATTTCCACAAGCCACTCCTAGAACTTTAAGAACTTGTTCAACCACAACAGCTTTGATCCATACTTCAGTGCAGCCATGACCGTCCAAATCCACTCTGTTAGTAAGAGTAGCAAGCAGCAATTGGTAATGTAGAAGAGTGTTAGAAATAGTCAGTTCAGTTTATATTAAAACCTATGCAAAACTGAATCAAATCAGAGCATTTAAATCACTGGCTTTCCATCGATAAATGGGGAGGGGGGAATAGAAAGAAGGAGAAAAAAAAAGCGTACTTGACAATGCGATACCTAAGAGGAATATTACCAATCGGGAAGAATCACACATGACATGGTGGAGTTTTGGGGAGCTTTTTGAGGTTTTTCCCCTTTTTTTTAACGTTTGAAACAATAGGAACGACATTTCAAAACAGAGATGTCCGCAGATGATATACTGCTCTTATTTCTGAGAATCTTTGTATCTAGGTATCAATTTTGGTATATACTTAAGAGTTCTCTCTTAGGCAACTGGAGCTAGAAGTCCATCTGAATAACCGTAAAAGATCTGCTGCTGTTCCTGCCTGAATGCTTGATCTTGATGATACCACAAAACACCAAAGGACCATATAGTCATTGTACCAATATTCGTTATTAGAAGAAATTCTTTACAATGAGGGTGGTGAAACACTGGAACGGGTTGCCCAGAGAGGTAGTGGAGGCCCCATCCCTGGAAACATTCAAGACCAGGTTGGACAGGGCTCTGAGCAACCTGATCTAGTTAGTGGTGTCCCTGCTCGCTGCAGGGGGGCTGGACTAGATGACCTCTAGGGGTCCCTTCCGACCCAAAACTTTCTATGATTCTATGAATTCTACTGGAACAAAGCATATTTGTTCTTGTTGCACAAAAGAATCAAATGTAGTAATATAACTTATTGTTCTAATAGAATCAACTATCCTTTTGAGGAACCTCTGCACTGAAATAATAATAATAATTAAAAACAAAACCTTTGTTTTGAATAGTCACATCTGTAACTACACAAGGGATCTGGGAGGGGATCTCAAACACTCTAAATATCGTCTTTCAACTTCTGAAGTACGATTATGGGATTCTCCAAGACAGAAATGTCAAAAAATATATGATTAGATTCCTCTGAAAAGAATTTTGCTTGCATGTAGAAGCAAAATGCTTAGAGGACAAAGCAAATGGAAATAACCGGGATGCTTTAATAAAAACTGTACTATTTCTCCAAGTCAAATTACTGTCAAACACCCATTGTAAGGCTTTCAATATTACCCTATTTGTTTAAATACATATACACACACATGTATACACATATATTTATAGTTTTGTGCAAGGCTTGACAAGGAAACTTAAGATTTCCTTTAGTCTAAAGGATATAGCAATAACTACTAAGAAATGCAAAAAATGCACTACTGACAGAATTATGTAGAATTTAAGGCAGGGAACAGATGAAGGATGACATCTTCTGTGTAGTTATGTTCTTTCAGTTTGGTAGATAAACAGTCTACTAGGCTGCAGGAGACAGCAGCTGTTTAACCAAGATGGGATGAAGAAAACAATGGTGGTAGCCAGACAGCAAAGGAAAGGCAGAAAGCATGACGCTTTGCAACCAAAAGGTTGAAACTCAGTAACCAAAGAAAATATAATATGAAGGAAGATGTAACTGTGAGGCAAAAGACAGACATTGTCTTCCCTGTCACTCTAACAGAATTTTTCCAACAGGATAAAAAAAGCAAGAATAGGAAGAACTGAACTTTAATTCATATATCTTCATAATTTAAAAACAAAACAGGAACACCATCTCCCCCCTCCCCCCAAAAGAAAAAGACAACCACACCCTATTCACTATTATAAGAAAAGAGGATTAAAAGGGACTTTCCAGATTGGTATCCATTTCCAAATTCTGGTACTTCCTAAAAAGTCTATGTTCCCCATTTAAAGAGAGACAAGGTAGGCATTTAAAAACAGCCTATTCTTCAAGAGTTAGTGGTTGCAAATATATTTCCTTCATTTAAAATAAGATACACCAAAGGACATCATAAAGTTTCTGAGACTCCTGAAACACAGAGCCAAAAGAAAAATAGCAAAGTTACAGAAGCCAAAAAAAGTAAGGAACACAGGATGTGTAGAAAGGTGAAAGATACAAAAGCTCTTGGTTAGTTGTGATAGAGGGGATTGTAAGAAATGTGAAACTATAACAAAAAGCCTTAATATTTTCTAGTTTTTAGTAGTCTTTAGTACTGTAACTTGTATTTCTGCATGCATAGTGATCTAACAATATAACTGTTACACTAATCCCTGTTTTCTCATTAAGGAATGTAGTGGAAGGACATGGGCACAAGCTATCACTTAGTCGTTAGACAAAATAATTAAGTGAAACAAAAGTGGTCTTGGTTCTCAGCAAATAATTGGGATAATTGTGGGATAAAAGAGACTCCTAAATAACTCTACTCCAGACAGCTCGGCCTTGGGAGGGCAAATGCGCTAAGCTACAGAGATAAGGAGGCACCAAGAGAGCAACAAGACCGGAGCAAAACAACCTAAAGGACATGATATACGTGATGCTAGAACTGAGTTTGCACAGAAAAAAACGTCAATCAGTGAACAGCGTGATGAAGAGGATGGGCCTTCATCTTGGGACCTCCAAAGACCACCCAAAGATGCTAACAGACATGCGTGAAAGATATTTACACATGCTAATTAGTTCCTAGAAATATAATGAATATTTACATGTGTGATTGCATTTAACCTGAAGCAACAGGGTGTCTGGCGCGCACGTTTGGAGGAGAAATCCCCTGTGTGCCCGGCGCCGCAATAAAGAACACCTGCTTAACAGTATACATTGTACAGTTAGGTTTTTCCTACCGGATCTTCGAATCAGTTGTATACTGAGACATGTGCAAACATCCTACATCATTATGACTTACGAGCAATCTTTAATAACAGAATTTATGCATCACTTTTTTGTCAAGATAATATAATCACCAAATTAATTTAATAAAGTAAGTGTGGAAGACAACAACTGACAGGAGCTTAACTTTTTTAGATAACCATTCATAATAAAGACTAGAATTAATAACAGACAAAAATGTTATTTATAGAGCTGGATTTCTTCAGTTATACACTCACTTTATCACTTCTTTGATGATTCTGGGTACATCTGTGCAGATATCCACTTTAACTGTCTTTACAGATCTTGGCTCTACCACTCCACTGATAGGTTCTATGTTAAGCAGGACAATCCCATCATATGATATTTCAAATGTACCTAAAAAATAGAATAATAAACAAAATGTTACACAACATAAAGTTGTAGATTTATGTTCTTGTATTACATACTTAGAATTACAAAACACATTATGCAGATATTCACAGTACATTTTCCTATGGAAGCAGAAAACATGGAGTTAATCTTTTTCAAAACTATTTCTAACACAGAGTAGATTATTATTTCCAGGGTTTCTTTAAATATTACACCACCATGTCCAATGCCACTTTGCAAGTTGTGATTGCACAGAAAAGGTACTTGCATTCCAAACAAAAGTGACTACATCATAAAGAGGCTGTACATAACATTTTGAAAGTCACAGGATATTTTATACCCAGTTCTAGGCAGCTACTGTAGCCAGAAAGTTAAACGCATATTGCAAGTAACAATAGTTTTCATTATTTGGTAGGTACACAGCACAATTTATTGCAGAGAAGAACAGCAAACATTTCTAGGTTATAAAAATAGTAAGCCAATAAGCAACTGTTATTTTTACATCTTTCAGATGGGACTCAAAAAGTAGAGAACTCCTAAAATTTGGCGAAGTTCTAAATTCATTTTTCTTCCCTAAGTGGAAACATAGTCCTGCCCACAGAAGCAACAAGCCATCTGTAACACCTCTAGCTACAATACTCCTAATCTACACAACCCAGAACTTCAGTTAATTTCTACATGGCCAGTGAAGTGTTAACTTGCATAAAATTACATTTTCAAAAAAACCAAAATATTTGTATAATTTAACATGTAATAAATATTTACCTGAAGATGATCCACGGTTAGTAATGGTAATCTCTTTACTAATTATTTTACTATTAGCAATCACTGCACCAAAATTAATCTCTGACTCAATTTCCAGAGAGCAACATGAAATTAATCTGCAGAGAAAAGACATGGTTATATTTTCCCAAAACTTGAAATACCTTTGCACTTTTAAAGAAATTTGGTTAAGCACTCCAGCGGACGAGAGTTCTCCTTTTCTCCTAGTTCTCCTACTAAAGTTTACACTAACTTACTTCAGCAGTATAGCATACACAGGGAAGATGCAAAAGAGATCTAGCTATCTACCCAGCTGTTTACTTCAACGATTAGCTACTGTAACTTTGAAACAACATAGCTTTAAGCAATTAGTCAAAATGGTTGTACACATTTCTATTTAATTTGAAATACTTTGTTATAGTACAAAGAACTTCAAATAAAACTGTCTTGAGTTAGTGGCATTACAAAATAAGACCAAAGTTAACATTCACCATATTTCATTATCACCTGCCTGAACTAAAAGCAGAGAGAAAATGTGCATGTTAGTTTCAATTTACAGTCTTCTTGTTTTATAGATACTTTATGTGGCTTCAGCAAAACTTACTATAACAGACAGAAGCGGATAATGACACAAGTTATTTGTATTATTTATTTAAAAGCCTCAATCAGCATGATGATATCACTGTATTGGGTACTGCTTAGCCATAATGAAAACATCATACTCACTTCAGGAAACTTGTATTCTAAAGGCCCCAATTTCTAATACAATCACACCTCTGATCTCACATAAAACTATGTGAAGTCAACTGGAATTTTACATCAGCGTAGCAGTCTGCCTCCTCAACCATAATTAAGAACATGCAGGAACAACTGCAACTCATGAGCTGCACTACATGAAGTACAGAAGACTAAATGGAGAAGGAAGATAAATCTCCTTGGCCAAGCTTGGCCATGTAATCTATTGCAGAAGGGCGGAGGAATGAAAGGAAGGGAGAGTGGGGAAAAAAGAAAAAAAAAAAGCGGGAAATGCAACAAAAGAAGTTGTCCTGGGGAATGGTAATATACTTTTTAACTCTCTTTAATAATTTATTGTAATGCAAAAACATAAATTAGTAAATTATTGGAAGAGATGGTCTAGACCAGAAAGATGCGGCAAAAAAATCCACAATAAAAAAAAAAAAAAACAAACAGGAAACAACTATCAAGATTGCAGTACACTTGAAAAAATAATTAAAACTTCACATGTTCCAAGTATTCAGACATTCTTCCAATAAGCTTTGTTAGAAAAATGAAACACAAGTATCTCTCCTCTCAAGATTGAAATATATAACTTCCCAAGTAGACAGGAATAAGCATAAATTCTAACTGCAATGAGATTTTCTGATACCAATCTGTGCAAAAGGGAGATATTCAAGTTAAAGGTCTTGGGTTTTGTTTTTTAATAGAGGGTGGGGTCTGGTTGGTTGGTTTGGTTTGGGGTTTGTGTTTTGGTTTGTGGTTTTTTTTTTTATGAAGATGGAATTTACCCCTGGAAATGCCTGATTTCAAATGTTCTCTTAATTTTATTTAAATAAAAAAACCCTAATCCTTAATTATTATATTTCAAAAAAAGAGTTTGGATGCAGCATTTCAGTTATTCGTTTAAAAAAAAGAAAAACACAGAAATAAACATAATTGCAACTGGCTTGTTTAAAACACATTCCCGAATCTTGAGTATGAGTATTTTCTATGGCGATCAAATATTTGCATAACTAAATCATTACACTTCTATTACTGACCACATTATAAATCCATGGTGCTGTAGAGATTAAGCCAAAAATGTTGTTTGGTGTCCAAAACTTACATCAAATTCATGAGCCACAAATCAATATGCTTAACAACTGGATCTAGTCTCATGTGCCAGGCAAATACGTAACAGCTATTTTACTCTCAAACCAAACGGCTGTGACATTAATGTCAACAAAGCACAACAGAAATAAAGTTCTCTTGGTGGCATTTTTTACCAAATAAATGGTTATAAAAATAAGTGGAGAGTTACTGTAGTTTAATGTTTTATAGGAAACTAACTTTTCCTGTACTCTCAGTGAATCTCATCCCAGACTAAAGATTATCTTAAAATGAACCATAGATGCGATTGAAGCAGTCACATAAGTTGTTGGCAGAAAGGTTAAAACTTTTCATGCTTGTTTCCTAAACCACTAGTGAACTTTTCTTTCAATAAAGTTCTATGGACAAAACATGCAGACCCACAATATCTAATAATTCATAGTGAATTACATATTTGTACATATAACTATATAACCTATAGAGAAATAAAAGCTGAAAAACAACATCATTTCAAAGAAAGACTACAAATAAGCTAATAGGTAAGAGAAGTAGCAGACATTTAAAGAGGTCAGTCTGAATAATGTCAGCAACTTACAAATATTTCTTACACAACAACACATTATCTTGGATTATACTTATAAATTTTCTGAACTTGCTGTCACATGCTCTAAAACTTTATTCTGTTTTGGAGGTGTACAACTCTTCAAAAGTACTGCCAGTACACCATCTGAGTGACATTCACCAAAGACAATGAAAATAAACGCTTTACTTAGGTTGGCCAAAAATCAGAATTTGTCACCGGTAAGAAATTTTGTTTGTCTGTCACAAAAATATACAGCATTTTGATGTAAATCTAAGTATAGCCTTAACAATTTCTAAAATCACTTATTTAAATTCTTGACGTTTTAGGAAAAGTAGCATTAGTGTTTACTGCATTATTATTGATACATCAGTAGAAATAATATAATGTTATTAAAAATGTAAAAGAATGAAGACATTTTTGAACAGGAAGTGAAAAAACAACATCAGAATTAAATAAATTTGGGGGAGGGGAGGTGTCTGTCCTCCAAAACAGAACATTACAAATATTTCCTTGAAAGTATTTTCAGGTTACTCTATCAAACTAAACACTTCTGTGAATATTTCATAGTGACAGTGCAATTTTTATCAAAAAAATCTTTTGATTAATAGTCATTATTTTCTAAAAATTGTTAATTATGCACTTCAGACTATGTTTGCATAGAAAAATACATCATGTATTCCAGTGACCCTTTAGTGCAATAATTGAATATCATCTATCTATAAACAGCAGACATGCATAACACAACATACATTTGGGAAAAGGCTTAAAAAATAGAATCTTTTTTTAAAAATTTATAATTTAACGTAAAAATAGAAAATTTAAAAGTTAAAAAATAAAAATTAAAAAGAAAATAAAGTGCTGTCTAATCACTTTTTACTACTAGGAAAATATACATTGGGAGAACATACTTAGAGACAGCTGTTTTTAATAGGAAAATGATCGTATTGAACTACCAAGTTCTGTACTACCTTGTGAAAAGTCATCCCTGTCTTTCAGTCAAAGAAAAGCATTTAGGGCTTTCCATTTAAATTTCTATAAAGTTAACTAAGGAAAGCTATAATAGCATTGTTTAATACTATGTTCTAAGACAATAAGAGTTTAGAAACACCACAGAAAAAAACAACTCAAAAATAATTTCTAAGTCTTCCAACAGTAGATAGTCTTTTGTTAAAAGAGACATAATTTACAACCACTTAAAAACCCCATGTCCAATTTAACTGCGTCCTACATTAACAATAGTACGGCATTAAAATAAAAAAAATCCCACAGCTTTTAAGATGAAATGAGGAAAAGCAAATCAGTGAAAAAGATCATGGCATAAGAGGTAAACAAAATGCAGAAGCGAGTACTGCATATCTGAAGGCAAAACCTTACACATTTCAGGCTAGCACGCGACGTTTGTGGGGTTGCTTGACTTTTAAAAACAACTCATATACTGAACAATCTCCATGGAAATTCCTTTCTGTCTCTATACATAATTCATAATGTTAAGATTTTCATAAAAACTGTAATTTGAAATAGTTTATGGCATTCACCTATCCTGATTCAGGCATCTAAAAGCTGGACCTGTAAACCGAAGTTTGTCATCCTAATTTCTCTTTATAGACAAAGGAGAGAGGTACTCCAAGGCAATTCTCCTTCATCCTCAGATAACCGCCTAGCCTACGTCCGATAAACTATATTTAGAATTACTTTTTCCAACCCATATATATGTTATATACAGTATCTAAGACATATATCCATATACACATACATAAATAAGTACACACAATCACATACAGATTGATGAAAATGACCCTTGAATGTCTGACCTTATTCTAAAACACATTCCATATTCTTAGAATTAGGCAACACGTTTCACACTAATCCAGTTTTGCAAATACAGTCAATTACTATAAAATCTTTTACATAAGCGGTTGAGTAAGGAGGGAAGACATTAAGAGCAGATGTTAACTTGTCTAATGTTGATACAGCATTAGAAATTATCAACGTTATCACAACCAACTTAGAACAAAGCAAAAACAAAACCCTAAACTCTCTCTAGAATCTTAGAGGAACACCACCCCAACTAACTTACCTGCATGGTGCTCTGGAAAAAAATAATCTTACATTTGTATGGAAATTTACTATTTGTTTTCAATGCAATTGACAGATTAATTACACAGCCATATATGACATGTATTAGCAAATTTTCAACAAGATTAAACTGCAAATAGTAACAGCATCATATGAACTTTTCACCATCGTACCCAAGCAGGGGGATATCAACTATGTCATCTTCTACTAAAAGAAGTACTCTATCTTGAAGATCTTCTTCACTCTCAGGATAATACTCCACAAAAGCTGTAACTTGAAGTCCAGATGCAACAGGTTTTTCTGGATTTTCCACAAGCAATTTAAACTGCAGTTTAAAAAAAATAAGTATTTTTTAAATTGTTAAACATTTCTAGATTAAATAACACATGCATGTGGTTCATTTTCAGAGGAATACACAGATTTATTTAAAATTCACAACCAAATTTGAAATATGCAGGCTTTTATAAAATTTCTCTTCCTCTTTACTGAAGTCCAGACTTTTTACAGTCAAATAGAAAGTCAGAAAGAATATTAACCCATGAAATTACACCTAAGAGTTGGTTTAGCAAAATATCATTTCCACTCTTTCCAAGAGAGCTCTGGCTTTTCCACTGTTGGAAAAATCCTTCTGAAGCAACACAAAACAAAATCAGCTACCACTCAACAACAAAAGGAGACAGCGTAAGAGTTTTCTCTAGGTCTGACCAACATTCAGCTGACGTCAACAGAAAGACTCACTGTACACTGAAAATTTGCTTGAAAGGACCATTCCACCTCCAATTTCGGAGGTCAAATGAAAGAGAAAAAAATAGAAGCAGCTGACAGAAAGCACTTTTTTCCTCTCTCAAAAAGTAATTCTAGATTTGTTGTTGTGTGTAAGCATCTGCTTACATCCAACATCCTCTCTGCACATCTTTCCTTGGACAGAATACACAAGTAACCTACTAGCACGTACTGGGAAATCCAGCAGTTCCCATGTTCCTAGGAAAGCCTCACAACAAGGTCTAGAGCTTCTCTGGTGTTTCAGTCTCCTTACAATTTGCATCACTCTATGCAAAATAAGCTTCTGCTCTATACGTCCAGTTTAACTAGTGTTTATTTCTGAGAGTCATCCCAGTATTAAGTTTTCTGTTCTAATTTTTGTTTGAAATATGCAAACATGTATTTTACTGCTTGTTGATTCTATTGTCTGAGCATCATCTTCTATTCCTTTAAATTAATTTTCCTAGCTGTATAAACACCGAGCTAAAGGAAATTTGGTATGCAATATGCATCATGATTATGGGCTTAATTTTGAAAGAGTAGCCAGGTTTCAATTTTGAAGTGTGTAAAACTTACCTCTAAAGAGAATTAAACAGCCAAGCATATTAACTCTATACAAGGGGAAATTAACATATTATACTACGAACTTTTAATAAAACCTATGGAAAACTGCTTTGTGAGTTAAATTTCTTGAAGGACATTTCTTGGCCATGCACTACGACAGCTCAAGGAAGGTTATTTTTCAGTTCTTGCATTCCATGAGTGTAATACCTCAGAAAATTTACAGATGAGTCATACACTTCACAGCCATGTAATCACAGACAGCAGCATAAAGTCTGGGAATGAGAAAGAGCAACACAACAGACCTTTCTGGAACTGAGCATGTGAAGTGGAATCTTGTCCCCTAACAGTCATATTGGTTGTCTCACACACAATAGCATTGAAATACTCGGCAAAAGGCATGAGATACTCACAGAGGTAAAAACTCATAAATTATGACTGAGTAACCTTTTCTCTTTTCTAAAATTAACTCTGCCTTTCCACTTCTGGAGCACATGAAAAATTGATAGGGCTGATGAAAACTAACAAAACAGAGTAAGCACAGCCCTACCAAATCAAGCACTCTCAATAGTTTCCAGATAGTTATAAAATTCTTCAGCTACAGTGTAATAAAATCAAGCTGTCTACACCATGCAAATTAGCAAGTTTTAGGGAGGATAAAATGCATGCACAGTCTTGGCCACTCTTGCCCTCAAAAAGAAAGGCTGACTACTCAGTGAAATCACCCAAGGTACTTCAACTGTCTGACAACCATTTGCATGACTACTCTGGAATATATTTATTCATAGTTCAAGTTGCTGTGAACACAAAGCAACATCAACTACTGTTCAACCTCCAATGCCAGTTCAACCCTTTGATCCCAATTTTGACGTAATTAACAGTTAATTAGCTAGATGAAAGACCAATATAATATTACTAACCACAGCTGGATTTTGCTGGGCCCACACAGGTTACCAGTTAAGGGCTAAACTGGTTAGAATTGTAAACATGTATTTGCCTTTAAAGAATCTGGCTAGGCAATGATTGTTCAAGAACTAATCAGATGCTATTAATCGTAATCGTACTATCTGGAGAAAAGATAGTAAACCCCTCTTTTCTGAGAAAGATCTCCACAAGCAAGCACCACAAAAGGACTACTTGAGGGTACTGGTGGATGAATAGCTGAACATGAGCCAGCAATGTGCGCTCGCAGCCCAGCAGGCCAACTGTACTCTAGGCTGCATCAAAAGAAGCGTGGCCAGCAGGTCGAGGGAGGTGATTCAGACCCTCTACTCGAGACCCCACCTGGAGTCCTGCGTCCAGCTCTGGAGCCCCCAGCACAAGAAAGACATGGAGCGGGTCCACAGGAGGGCCACAAAAATAATCTGAGGGCTGGAGCACCTCTCCTATGACGAAAGGCTGAGAGGTGGGGCTGTTCAGCCTGCAGAAGAGAAGACTCTGGAGACCTTATTGCAGCCTTCCAGCACTTAAAGGGGGATTATAAGGAGGATGGGAACAAACTTTTTAGCAGGGCCTGTAGCGACAGGACAAGGGGTAATGATTTTACACTAAAAGAGGAGAGACTTAGACTGGAGATAAGGAAGAAATTTTTTAGAATGAGGGTGGTGAAACACTGGCACAGGTTGCCCAGAGAGGTGGCAGATGCCCCAGTCCCTGGAAACATTCAAGGCCAGATTGGACGGGGCTCTGAGCAACCTGATCGAGTTGAAGGTGTCCCTGCTCATTGCAGGGAGGGTGGACTAGATGACCTTTAAAGCCCCTGCGAACTCCAACTATTCTATGACTCTACTCAAAAAACTTAGAAGAATATGATGCAGAAATGAGGTAACAGAGCTATCAATCAGCCCTACAGAAATCCAAGCAAAAACAATTTCAAAAGTTGTGTCCTTCACCTGATCTGGAACACTTCACATATTTGGTGTTCACACCACAGCAGAGTGATCCATTTCTACACAACGTCCCCTGAAATAACAATGAACTCAGGGGTCTCTTGAGGGATAAAATTTCTGGAGAGTGCAAAGCCAGCCAGCAAAGCTAAGCAGGATTTGTTACCAACAGGGGACTTGATGTACTAAGACATACAAGCAAGCTAATTTACTTCTACTGAAACTACGGATTTTACAAACAAGGAAGCTCTCTTCAAATTGCTCACGACCTTAGGAAAGTACAGAACTGGGAAGGCTGCAGTTCATTTCATTCTGACTTAGAGGCTTCAAATGAGCAGCCACATTTGAAGCTCTAGATGAGAACATTTTTCAAGTATCACAGCTACGTGTTCTCATGACAAGCAGATAAATGAGGACACTGGCTCCCTCCTTCCAAACTGCCACACAAGAAGCAGTTCAGATAACTTTTGCTCTAAGAATTGCCTCTTATTCTTTCCAGTTTATCCAGCTATTCAACTCTTTGAAATTAATTTCCAATTCACTGGCAAATTCTAGTCAGTCTCACAAGCTGCTCGGGCACTCATGGTAGCATTTTCCATTTGCAGCAGCTTAATGCAGACCAGTGTTTGCACCCACTCAAGCAGCTTCTGGCACAGGACCAGCCTAGCTGGGCAAATCTGTGGGCAGGCATCCCCTCACAAAACTGCAGAAAATAAAAGCGGGGCCTCGAGATACACTTGTCCTCTGGCAACGTTCTGCACCTCATGGAGGGCCTGACAAGCTCAAAGGGAGCACGCTGTTCCTCAGGGCAAGCCCGGGAGGGAAGGATACAGAACTGCCAGGCCCGGGGCAGGGCATTCGCATGAGGCACTACCGTTATTCAAGCAAAAACCCACAGAGCCAGCAGCTGACTTGTAGAGAAAGAGCCAGGCCTCGACGACGTTACACC